CCCATGGAACTCAATTGGCTTTTAAGGGCCTTGTGTCCTGGGTGACTGACTTTTATAGCTGCTCCAAGGACGGTTGAGTCTATTATAATCCATTGCCAGTGAACATCTCATTGGCTCTAGATGACCAGGGTACTTAAGTGGTCCTGGTAAACAGTCATAATCTATTGCTCTAGCTCTCTTAGACTTGGAACTGATAGGCCATAATTAGCATTTCTTCCTACCTATGATAGGCCCACAGTGAACCATGGGCATGTAAGTTAGTGACCCAGCCATTCGTGAAGTCCAACCATATAGGAAATATCCACCAGAACATTAGCTTCTCTTTCTCCTTGGTAGACCTTTTGATGGAGTGGGATTTAAAAAAAAAAAAAAAGGTCAGGATTTCAGTCGCCACATGGCCAGAATCAGGGACAACCACACAGTTCAGCAGAGCAAACATTTGATTTGCTGACACAAAATGGCATTCTGGCCAAGATTGCTGCATTGCCAGCAATAAAAGAAGTCAAGTGTCCCTGGAAAGGGCCCGCAGAGCAGTGGTCAATGAAGCCATTGTAGTCTCTAAGGCCCCACCAGCACATCTTCCATCACCCCACCTCACCCCTGTCCTCCGTGCTCACAGGGCCCATAGCTTATACGTTTGTGCTAGCACAGCCTCAGGACACTTAAGACATTTGAAAACATTTGCTGCCTGAGTGAGTATCAAATAAAGTTGTCTGCCACTTGGGGCCTCTCCAAGGCTGCAGGTAGCATTTGCTGTTACTGTGACTGTTGGGGACAGCATGCTTCTACTCTGAAGTCACCCTGTCTGCCGTGGCCTTTCTTAGGAGTCCCCACCACTCAGGAATTCGTGTCCTCAGTTGATCTCATCCCCCACGCCCACCCAAACCCCATTCCTTAGGCTTTGTGAGGCTCCTCTCAAGCCTGTGCCCTCGTGGCTCATATTTCACAGGCATCCTCCTGGCTAAGGACTTTGCTCTGTGTGCCTGGGGCCTCTGCTCACGCCTGTCTTGGACCACTGTATGATAGTCGTTGCCGATTACTTGTTACACCCCCTTCCACCCCGAATTGTTACCTCTATGAGGCCGACTTTGCTTCTGTTGCTATTTCTTTTTCTTTGTTCCTATTTCTAGTGTCCAATACTATTTGTTTCATTGTGTGCTTCCATGAATTCTTAAGGACTGAATAAATGAATGAAAAGAATAAATGAGTGAAATGACTATATATATATATATATATATATACACACACACACACACATATATATATATACTCACACACATATGTATATTTAAAAGTATCTTTTGTTGTATATTTAATACAACAAGATATTACAGGGTCCATATAAACAGTAAGGTAAGAAAATTAACATTAATGTATTAACCTTATACAGTTACCCTTTCCCTTTGTGTGTGTTTCTCTGTGTGTAGTATGTGTGTCTGTGTGCACGGATGCTTTTGTATGTGTGTGCAAAGGAGTTAAAATGTATTCATTCTTGTTGAGCATGGTGGTTATAAGCCTCTTAGACTTGGAACTGATAGGCCATAATTAGCATTTCTTCCTACCTATGATAGGCCCACAGTGAACCATGGGCATGTAAGTTAGTGACCCAGCCATTCGTGAAGCCCAACCATATAAGGCTGAATCAAGAGGGTCACCAAGTTTAACACCAGCCTGACCTAAACAGCAAGTCCCAAGTTCTGGGTGACCTTGAGCTACAGAGGAGGACCTTGTCTCAAAACTAAGGACAGGGAAAAATTTAGTCCTGTTTTTGAAGATTGATTTATTTATTATGTATACAGTGTTCTGTCTGCCCGTATCCCTGCATTCCAGAAGAGGGCATCAGATCTCATTACTGAAGGCTTCTGGCCACCATGTGGTTGCTGGGAACTGAACTTCTGAAAGAACAGACACTGCTCTTAACCTCTGAGCAATCTCTTCAGGCTCTCAAAAATTTAGCTCTTACACACACACACACACACACACACACACACACACACACACACACACACACACTCACGATGTCTCTCAGAGCACCTGCACAATACAGGAGACAGAAAAAATCTAGAGTGTTTGTTTTCTCAGGCGGTGGCACAGCAGGCAAAGTTGTTGTCATTAGCACATCATTGAAACTCGTCACCTGTCCTGCTGCTTGCTAAGGCACTGGGAATTAGATGCCTGGTGGTGTAAATTACCCAAGTCTTTGGGGCTTAAAACAGCTGAGGGATGCTTAGGCAGAAATCTAAGGTCTTTGTCATCCTGCAGGGCTACCCTAGGCACTCTCACAGGGGCACAAAGGCCCAGGTTTTGAGGTCCATCAAAAGTCCAGGGGACAAAACTTTTGAAAAGTTGTCTTATACACAATAATATACGTCCTGGTTTTCCCAGTGACTTCAATGTTTTTCACTCATTCTTGAGAGAATCACTGTTTTTTTTTTTTTTTTTTGTTTTGTTTTCTTTTTTTTTGTTTGTTATTCCTTTTCTGAGACAGGGTTTCTCTATGTAGCCCTGGCCAAGAATCATCTTTAAATGATTTCTCAGTTCCTTTTTTTTTTGTGTCACTGTGACCAGAACTCCTGATGAGGACAGCTTGCCAGAAGAGAGGTGTTTTGTTTTTTTTCTCTTTTCTGAGTTTCAGAAGGCTTCCATCCATTGTGGCTGGGAGGCATCATGGCTGGGGCATGCCAACAGCCAGGGGCTGGCTATACCCTTCAAAGGCACAGAGACCTAGTTCCCAGCCAGGCCACCTTCTACATTACCCAGCCTCTAACATCACTCACACATTCTCTGGGGGAACTGCAGATGCAAACCATGGCAAATGCCATCTATTGACTGTGACCCATCATTGTGTAGAATGAGGGTCATCTTAGCCTATTCAGCTCATCATTTACACCCATTCACTATCTCTACCAATCTTTTATAATGAAAATTGGCTTTGTTTGTTCTGTTAAACAGAACAAAAGACTGGCTAAATTTTCTGCCCTGTTGGGCTCATGTCATTTCTATTTTATGTTGTTTTGCTTTTGGTGTTTTTTTTGTTGAAAGGTTTTTAAAGTTTTTCTATTGAATTTCTTACAAGCTATGAGATGAGGATTTTCTCCCCTCCCCCCCCCATCACTTTCCACTAACTGGAAGTGGTGGAGGATGCTGTCATTCCACTTAATGCCTTCTCCATTTCTTGCCCTTGCCAGTTCCTGTACTTGTCCATGCGCACGGAATAGATTAGTATTTAGTTTTCCTTCTGCAGGGAGAGGGCTACAGGTGCTTTAAAGGGAACACTGGAAGCTGGAAATATCGAGTGACTTGTTTAAGGTCTTTTAGTGGTTTAGTGCCAGAGAAGGGGCTGAAGTCATGGCTTTGGACTCTCTAGTGGGATTTCTGCAAGCTAAGTCATTTATCTAGTGCTTAGTAAGTGTCTGCTCCTTGCTAGGCATTGTATTAGGTGCCAGTAATATTAAAAGCTAAGAAATTATTCCAGATCCTACACTTCACAGTTAAGGAAGAAAGTTTTATATAAGCATAACCAGCTTTCAACATTGTTGGATTAAAAGAGTTGTTTTTTTTCTAATTTGATCTTGTAATTTTATTTATTTTTATTTATTTATTTTATCTTCTGATGGACCTCAAAACCTGGACCTTTGTGTCTCTGTGAGAGTGCCTAGGGTTGCCCTGTAGGATGACAAAGACCTTAGATTTCTGCCTACGCATCACTCAGCTATTTTAAGCCCCACAGACTTGGGTAATTTACACCACCAGGCATCTAATTTTTTTTATCTTGCAGGTCAGAATCTAGGAAAAGTTATACTATTAGAAGTTTTTTTGCTGGTTTTTTTGAGACAGTATTTCTCTGTAGCTTTGGGAGCCTGTTCTGGAACTGGCTCTGTAGACCAGGCTGGACTCTTAACTCACAGAGATTCTCCTGCCTCTGCCTCCTGAGTGCTGGGCCACCAATGCACAGTTAGAAGTGACAACTTTTTTTTTTTAATTTTATTTAATTTTATATAGCAGTCCAATTAAATGAAAGAAGTGACAACTTTTAAAGTTAATAGTTAATGTAATTTGTGTGTGTGTGTGCCTGAGTGCATGTATTTGCACTGTGTGCATGAAAGAGACTGGTTACAGGTGTGTGCCACCACTTTGGCTAACAAGAGACTAGGAGATTGTGTCAGATCCCCTAGAACTGGTCTTACAACATTGTGAGTCACTGCCTGGGTCCTGGGAACCAAACACCAGTCCTCTGCAAGAGGAGCAAGTAGTTTTAACTGCTGAGTCATCTCTCCAGCTCCAGAAGTGACAATTTTGGTACATTGAGAAAACAATGTTTTACTTAACTCATTTATGGCTAAGAGAATAACGCTTAGCTGGTGTACTTTCTAGAAGGTTATTTAGATTGACTATTTCAAAGTCAAATATGAAAGCAAATTGTTTAGGAGAGTATAGCTTCTTTATATATCTATTTGTTTATCTGTCACCCACCTATCTATTTATTTATTGATACAGGGTTTCTCTTTGTGACCCTGGCTGTCCTGGAACTCAGTCTGTAGTCAGGCTGCCCTTAAACCAGAGTTCCACCTGCCTCTGCTTCCTGAGTGATGGGATTAAAGGTGCATGCCACCACCTGGCTCATCCTTATTTATTTATTTATTTATTTATTTATTTATTTATTTATTGTTTTTTAAGATTACTTTTCTTGCCAGGATGTGGTAGGACACGCCTTTAATCTCAGCACTCAGGAGATAGAGGCAAGTGGAACTCTTGAGTTGGAGGCCAGCCTGGTCTACAGAGTGAGTTCTAGGACAGCCAGGGCTGTTAGACAGGGAAACCCTGTCACGAAAAAAGTTTACAGCCATATATATATAATACATGCATCTGTGCGTTCAGCAGGTTTCTATGGGAAAGTGTTGGGCACCTGATAGGTCGGTGTAGGACTTCCGATTCACACGTCTGCTTGTGTCTCCCTGGATATCCACAGTTTATGAACTTTCTTCTTTTTCTCCCTCCAGATTTTCATCACCGTGAATTGCTTGAGTACAGATTTCTCCTCCCAAAAGGGCGTGAAGGGACTTCCTTTGATGATTCAGATCGACACATACAGTTATAACAACCGCAGCAATAAACCCATTCACAGAGCATACTGCCAAATCAAAGTCTTCTGTGACAAGGTGAGCAAAGACGACAGCTTGCCAGAAAGGTACTGTTGTTAGGAGCTGGGTGGCATTCCTCCCTTGCCACTGTTTCTTGACTAGTGGTGTCTGAAGAATTATTTCTTGATCACACGGAAGTGGTAGTCTTTCATTCTCAAGTCTTGGTAAATATGTCAGGGTCACCTACCCGCTGCCCTTTGGTTTGGCTGCTTTGGCTGTTCTCAGCTTGCCATTCTGTTTTGGTTTTTTGAGACAGGGTTTCTACATGTTGCTTTAGAGGCTGTCCTGGAACTCGCTCTGTAGATCAGGCTGGCTTTGAGCTCACAGAGATCCTCCTGCCTTTGCATCCCGAGTACTGGGATTAAAAGCGTGCACCGCCAATGCCCAGCTTCTCAGCGTGCCATTTTACCTTTCCTTTAATGACTGTTGTTGCCCTATGGCCTAGTTCTCAGGTCACTAAAACAAAATAACACAGACTAGGTGGTGTGAGCAATAGAAATTTACTCATAGTTCTGGGGGTTTGAAGCCTAAGACGGAGGAGTCCAGTCCCCGAGAAGGTCATTTTGCCTGCTGACTTCTTACCTTGTCTTCACACGAGTCAGAAAGATAGACACTTTCCTGTGCTTTGTGTTGTTTCTTCATAAGGACACAGGAATCACCAGGGATCAGCTTCATGACACTTAGTCATGAACTGCCTGGTCTGAAACCAGGGGAGCTCACATTCAGTTGGTAGCTTGCTGCACTTTGGTCTGAATATGAAGCTGAAATGACAGATCTAGAACATTCATAGGGTATAGATACTATCCTAGAATACATCAATGTAACCTTTGACACTTGATGTGTTGCATGGGGCCTCACCTAGAACTTTTGGAAGTTTCAGAAATCACACCTACAAAATCAAATTCATAGGTTCTTATGCACTCAGGGCATAGAGCTCTTATCAAAGAGACAGAATAGCTACAGTAACAAAAATGTAAACTCTGAAGGTCCCTACACGAGATCATCACAAATGTAAGTGTAGCTTCAATCATTTGAAGACTCCTGTAAGAGATAGTCCGAAGTGTAAGTGTAGCATCAATCATTTAAAGACCTGTGTGATACCAGCTTCTGAGAAGGAGAATAATGGAGCTGCTTTACAAAAGAGAGATTGCCCAAGGCATTCACTGCAGAGCAGAGGAGCGTGGGAAGGGCCTACAGTACGCACTCTGCAGGCCCACGTTGAGGGCTGTGTGCAAACAGACTGAAAGTTGTCATGTTGTTCCATGAGAAGTTATACAGTGAAGTTCTGTCCCAGGGAGAGAGAGTGCTCTGGGGAAAACTGGTGAGGAGAAAGTCAGCTCCTGGAGAGCTCAGAGCTGGCTGCTCTGGAACTCTCTCTGTAGACCAGGCTGCTCTCAAACTCAATGAGATCTGCCAGTCTCTGCCTCCCAAGTGCGCCACCACCACATGTCCCAAGCATGTTCAGCATTTGACTTTGACTTTTAACCTTCCTTCCTTCCTTCCTTCCTTCCTTCCTTCCTTCTTTCCTTCCTTCCTTCCTTCCTTCCTCATTCCTTCATTCCTTCTTTTCTTCCCTCCCTCCCTCCCTCCCTTTCTTTTGTTTCTTGTTTGCTCAGGAGGGGAGTACATTTTTATATCACCAAGACTGTTTTGTTTGTAATAGTTTCAGGCCTTTTCTAAAGGCTGGAGGTTGCTGGGTGCATTACACGACATTGCCCCTTAAACAGACACTGTGCCTCAAACAGCTACTGCAGGGGAAAGGGATTCTTAACATGGACTGAGACCTAGGGAAGAAACTTAGGCCTGGATCTCCTGCGAATGTCACCTGTCTAGGGAGTTGTGGATACATGGTTCTGGTGAATTCTCCTGTAGCCAGAAGAGAAAATTGTACAGGGATGTCTCTATCTTGGGATCATGAGAGGAAAATTAAGCTAACAAACAGCCAACAAGGAAGATGGATAATGAATCATGCCAGCCATGAGGGATGCTCGTGAAGCAGGATAAGAATTAGCAATGTGGCCTTGAATTTGGCCAATGAAAAAGTCAAATTACAAGCAGCAGGAGTGCAGAGGGGAGGGTGCACGCTTCTGTGTGGGACAATGGCACCGTCTCTGAGCATGTAGGGCGGTATTGAAGCTTCCACGCACAGAGCGTCCCTTCATCTTCGTGTGGCCACAACTCAGAAAAGAATACCCCTTTATTTCTTCCTGTGGTTACTTTTAAAGTTCATAACTGCAAGCAGTGGAAAACTTGCACAGAGCAGTCACATTTGTCTGAAAGCTGTCTGTGCCTGGGACCCACATTTGCCAGGGCCTAGGTCATTCTGTTAGAGCGCAGAGTCACTTTTTCAGCAGGTGATGCTGAGTTAGAAAACTCAGTTGGTTCTTCCCACATGGATTCGGAACTCACATGAAATAGGCCCGAGACAGATGGAGGAGGCAAGCTGAGCCATTGGCATCTCTCACAGGTCAGCTTGCAGGGTGTAGAGCTGAGGACTGCATTGCCAGGAGCTGAGGCCTCTCTTTCTTTGTTTTCCCTCTCAGGGAGCAGAAAGAAAAATCCGAGATGAAGAGAGAAAGCAAAACAGGAAGAAAGGGAAGGGCCAGGCCTCCCAAACGCAGTGCAACAACTGTGAGTCACCTCCCCCCTCCCCCCAGTGACTGCTAAGGGGACCCAGCCGTCTGGGTTCTCTGAGAAGACAGAAGGAAACTCGGCCTGCTTTACCCTTCCAGCAGAGACAGGGTGTGGTGTGTGGGGGTGGGGGTGGTGTCATTCACATGGAAGCAAGCAGGAGTCTGATACTCTGGACTCAGGAAGCTTCTATCCACACGCAGTACTTCCTAGAAGCACGGGGTCTTTTTGTTTCTGTGGGTCTGGGAGAAGACATTGAAAGCATAGTCATGTCTGCAGCAGCTGAGCAAGCTTCGGGGAGAATCGTGGATTTAGCTAAGACTTCCTGATAGCTGAGAGTCCTCAGACACAGGAAACCCCTGTTCACGGGCGTTGTGTTTGCATGTAGCCTCTGATGGGAAGTTGGCCGCCTTACCTTTACAAAAGAAGAGTGACATCACCTACTTCAAAACCATGCCGGACCTGCACTCGCAGCCGGTGCTCTTCATCCCAGATGTTCACTTTGCAAACCTGCAGAGGACTGGACAGGTAAGACCCTGCTCACACCCTTCTGTCTCCCTGCGTGACCCCCCCCCCCCCCCCCAATGCTGTCTAGTAGAGCAGAAAAGACGGCATCATTCCACACAAAAAGTAGAGACTTGGGAGAGAATACTAACATGATTAGGCAAAGAAAGGTGTGAGTTGTTATTAGAAAAATGTTGAGAAAAGCAATAGGAGAAAGCTGCCTGGAAGAAGTTGTGTTTTCTTGCATCTAGCAGACTCTATCATGGCGCATATCGCCACCTAGTGGTGAAAAGTAAAGCAATCAATAATGTCCTACATCATCCTAGCCTCGGGGAGGGGTGTGTGTGTGTGTGTGTGTGTGTGTGTGTGTAGGTGTGTGTGTGTGTGTGTGTGGAGGTTTCAAGACCCTGTCAACATTTTTTTCTTAGTAAAAGTTCTCATTGAATGTATAAATCATTTGTCATCTAAAGCATAAAAAAACATATGTTAGATCTTCATAAAACTATGTTCTATGGTTATGTCTCCAAATGAAATGAAGGATTCAATAGTTAAGTCATTGTGACAGTTTAGTTATGTGGATGCTGCAAGTGTAATGATGAAAACTACACATTCACAGGAGAACTGATCATGATATTGCTCAATGAAAAGGAAAGTGGGTACCAGTGTGTCTGCCCTGTGCTCTGAAGCCTCTGACCACGGACCGAGAACCTTTCACATGCTAACTGATGGCTGAGCCCTCTCTAATAGAAGGCTACCACCCCTTTCTTCCTTAAGGTTGCTTAACTGTGTGGAGAAAAGAGGTTCCTTAGCATCTGCCAGAGCTGTTTTTGGTCACAGTAACCGGAATTTTTTTTTTTTTAAATTTATTTATTCTTATATTATGTACATTGGTGTTTGGGCTGCATGCATGTCTGTGTGAGGGTGTCAGATCTTGGAGTTATAGACAGTTGTTAGCTGCCATGTGGGTGCTGGGAATTGAACTCAGGACCTCTGGAAGAGCAGCCAGTGCTCTCAACAACTGAGCCGTTCTCCAGCTCTGGCCATTTTTAAAAGAATGCTCCCAAGCATGTAGCTGTGCTCTCTATGGAGTGAGGTCTCCATATCTTCCAGAAGAGCAGTAACTGAGTTAAACTGTCCCATTGCTTGTCACAACTGTGGCTGTGGTGCCACGGCACTCTTGACAGGCTGCTGTAGTCTCTTGGCAAGAGCTCTCTGAAATACACAAAGCTGTAAGTGAATCTTTAGAAGAAGAGCGCCCTCGCCTGGCTAGCCTGACAGCCTCACTAACCCCTCTGTCATGCCCAAGGCAGACTCCGAGGAGACAGAGTGACTGACCTTTAAGGGTTTGTCCTCCTCACCAGGCAAAGCAGCCTGGCAGCTTGGTACTGCTTGGCCTAAGCCCCTTTACAGTACCCTTGGGTTCCCTGTGACCCTGGATTCAGAGTGAGAGTCAGGAGGGAGCCTGGCTGGAAGTCCTGGCTGCCCTGTGAACAGCCAGTTGTCAATCATTCTGCGTAGCGGAAGGATGGGACAGTGGCTAGCTGGAGTTCTTAAAGGTTGCTTTCTGGGAAGAGCTAGTTGCCGAGGAGGTCCTTGAGGCAGAAGGACGTCACCCTGAACCTTGGGGTAGTGTGTGTTACACTCATGGCTTTCCATTTAAGAAGAAACAAAATCCAATCTAGCAATAGTCATGAAAAAAAAAAGCTGAATGAAAGTTCTTATACACACCCAAGCTGATTGCTATAGTGACTCAACCTTGGGCATTTCAGGTAATTTTTTGTTATACAATTGGGCCTGTGATTGGCAACATCTTAGCACTTCTGGGAACCTCTGAGAGGGTATGGGGAGTGTGCGAGGTCTTGAATGGGTAGAGACAGTGCCAGCTTTAGAAGAGAATTCACGGATGTCTGATACTGACTTGGGTATTCTTGTCCACCCAAACAAAAATGTCCCCACAGCACACAGATATAATTCCCAAAGGCCCACTGTTAAGCTTTAGAAATAACAGGGGCAAGGGGCTACCCTGCCAAACAGACCCTCCGCCCGCCCATCAGTTCATAAGTTAGGTTCATGGTTCCTTTGCTTTTCTTCATCTTTTTAGGGGAGTGTGGGGGGGAGGTTTGAAATAGGGTTTCTCTATGTAGCCCTGGCTGTTCTGGAACTCCCTCTATAAGGGTGTTCCTCTATAAGGCTGGCCTCGAACTCATAGAGATCCTCCTGCCTCTGCTCGTGCCACCACTGGCCAGCAGGAGGCTTCACAATTTCTTTAACTCTGTGCTTGACACTGAGCTCTCTTAAAGACACTTGTCCTTGGGGATCTTCCCTTTGCCACATGACCTTTATAGCCTGAAGTTAGCTAATGCGTGAGAAAATGAAGAGGAGGACACGGCCACTCCTAAAGTAGCGAGGAGAAGACTTTTACTGTAAACGTAAGTGAGAAAGCAGGCAGAGAAGACCATGGGGGGAGGGGGGTCGAGGGAGAGCCAGAGAGGAGCTTCGACCAGCAGACACAGCCTAGGCTACCAGGCCAAAGGAGCTGCATAACCACAATGGCTGTTGTATAGGGATCAGGGTGTGGGAAGCGAAGCCCCGCCCCTGGGAGGGGGAGGTTTAGGATGGGGTGCCAGGTGAGAAGTGCTAGGCGGAGCCACAGGTACTGAGGGATGATGGGAGAACTGGGAGGAGCCCCAGGAACTGAGGGGTGCTGGGAGGACCGACTGGTATCTGCTTTGATAGGTTAAACAGGCACCTCGGTTAGTCATTTGTTTCTTTGAGACCCTACATTTCTGTGGCTATGGGGAAAGCCAGACCCTTTGGGGAGCAAACACAGAGGCCCTGTTGCTGCCATCTCACTATGGCTCTCTTGCCTGCCCTCTTCTGGTAGCATGACATCCAGAGCCAGTCCATCAATGGAGGCAGCACAGCCTTTCCAAACCGTGTATTTAGATCTCACCAGTGGATTTTCTTAATGTCAGGAGCAACGTTTGGCAGAGGGCCAGAGTAATCTGGTTACACCAGATTAACTTTAGTGACGTTTCTGAATTTACTTTATAAAATATAAACATTATCCCGAGGGAGAATGTGAGGAGGCTGCATTTCCTTACACACACACACACACACACACACACACACACAGAGAGAGAGAGAGAGAGAGAGAGAGAGAGAGAGAGAGAACATTGTTAATCAAATGTGTCTTTTTTTCTTCTTGAGAGACAGTTTGTACTATTCCTGGCCTTACACGTGCCTGTTGTTTCTACCACAGGTGTATTACAACACAGACGACGAACGAGAAAGGTAAGACACCAGTCATTTCACGCTAAACACTTAGTGTTTGTATGGGTGCCGTGCACCTTCTGGCCCTGGGCCACCGTGGTCCAGGGGTGGGAACTTCCCATGTGTTGTGACTTAGAACTGCCAAGGGGCTGTTGGGTGGCAGCAGAGTGACACCCCTCTTCCTGTCCCCCTCCCTTCCTGTGGTCTCCTTTGGATAAAAGTGACCCATCTAGTGCACCGTTTGCTAGAATCTTTCTGATGCTTCTTGCTTCCCATTGTTGACCCCAACACAGCTCCTGAAGCCTTCCCTATAGATTGTCGGCTTTGATGGGGACCCGAGCAGGTTGAGAACCTGTTTGCTGTCCTGTGGACTTTAGATACGAGGTTGTCTCCTAGTGTCTTCCACGTCTGTCTCTGTTACAACACGGACAACATGCTCCCCATCTTTGCCGGGAACGTATGCCCACCTGGAGATTTTCAGGGGCAGCTAAGTCTTCAAGGTGCTTTCTATCTTTAACTTGTTTGATGTACTCAGAAGTTTATAGCCACAAAAGGGCTGAGACAGCTCTTTTCTAGGCCATAGTAGCGTCTGTAGCGCATTCTTGGGAGGTAGGTGTCCAGCCACCTTCGCCTTCTGCGAGTGTGTTTCACAAATCTCCTCAGGGTCTCTCATTCCAAATATTTTCACACTCGATGCGCCAAGAAGTTCTGTATCTGCTGGATGGCTTGTAACTTCTTTCTGTCCGTGGGCTTGGTCTTCTCTCTGGATGAGTTTTCCTTCCTCAGCATTCAAACTTCTTTTCCTCCTTGCAACTGATCTTAGTTAAAACATAGTTTTGGCCAGGCGGTGGTGGCACACGCCTTTAATCCCAGCACTCAGGAGGCAAGAGGCAGGTGGACCTCTGTGAGTTCGAGGCCAGCCTCCAAAGCCACAAAGAAACCCTGTTTCAAAAAACTAAAAGAACAAAAATGTATTTTTTGTCTTTTAACGTCTTAATTTCCCTCATGGGGAACTACTACATTTAAGCAAAAATAAATAGGTAAATAATAAATGTGTATGGGCATTTTGCCTCTGTGCATGTCTGTGTACCCATTGCATGCCTGGTACCTATGAAGGCCAGAAGATCTTGTTGGATCCCTGGAACTGGAGTCACAGATGATTGTGAACTGTCTTACATGGGAATCAAACCCAGGTCCTGTAAGAGCATCAGTGCCTTTAACCTCAGAGCCATCTCTCTCCAACTGGACCACTAAGTTTTTTTTTTAACTTGGTTTTCAGGACAAACAAGTTTAGAACCACATGAATTATTATATTGGGAACTCCCTTCTTATAAACTGGATACTATGCTTTTTTTTCTTAAAGCAAATTCAAATTACACTCATTCATCAATATCTTTTTTTATCCTCTTTGTTTGCATTAGTTGTATGTAACTAACATCCCAAGATTATTTTCTCCCATCCATAGTCAGACCTAGGCTTCCCCATCTTCAGAGTTGGTGAAGGAAGTGTAGCATTTACTGCGGACTCCATTCTTGGAGCCAAAGTTGTCATGTCATTCCTGTGTGCGTGCGTGCGTGCGTGCGTGTGTGTGTGTGTGTGTGTGTGTGTGCGCACGCGCGCGCGCGCGCGTGTGCGTGTCTGGATGATGGGCAGGGTCTCACTGTGTAGCCCTGGCTGGCCTGGAATACTCTATGTAGACCAGGCTGGCCTCAAACTCACAGACATGCACTTGCATCTTCCTCCTGAGTGCTGAAATTAAAGGCAGGCGCCACCACACACAGCCCCACTTGACTGATTTTAAGTAGTCTATAGACTAAGAATGGTTTTCAATAGTTTAAAAACCTCCCATGAAGACTGACTTCCCACAACATGTGAAATGAAGTGCCCTTGAGCCCCTAAAGGAACATTTTTCCTGGGACACATTGGTGCTAGTTCCTTTCTGCTTTGTCTGTGATTACATTGGTAAGACAGCAGAACTGATGGTTACAACAGGAATCTGAGAAGCCTCAATATTTGTCGTTGGGCTCTTTTCAGAAAAAGCTTGCCACCTTCCATCCCAAAGGGAGAGAATCACAAAGGAATTAATTGAATAAATGACCCTCAAGCTGCTTAGGGCTGGAACCTTGCCCAGCATCCAACCTCTAAAATCAGTTGTAAATTCTCTAAGTATCGCTTAGAGAGCCACACATAGTGGTTCGTGATGCCTGTAATCCCAGAAATCAGGTAGCTGAGGCGGGAGGGTCAAAAGATTGAAGCCAGCCTAGAGAACTTGGTAAAACTCTCATCTCGAAAACAAAGACAATTAGTTTGTCTTTTTTTTTTTTTTTTTTTAATCTTGAGTCAGAAATAATCAAATTCCAGTGGCTAGAACAAACCTAATCTCTTGATCACATTTTATAAGGAACATCGTGGTGTCGTGAAAAGAATGTTGACTCTGAGCTCAGGACGCCCAGGACCATCCCCTGGACTGTCCGTTTGTCCACATGAAACCTCATGCCTGCCCGAGTCCCTGAAGCCTGGCTTCAGTTTTCCCGAGAAGGTTGCAGAAGGCACTTGCCTGAGATAAAGTTCCAGGCTGCTGCGGCTTGGAATAAAAGGTGTTCTCAGGTCATCTGAACTGGAAAGATTAAAATGAATCTTGCTTGGTGACACAGCATGAGAAGGTGTCTGATAATATTAATTTCAGGCCATTTGCCAATTATTAGTTTAATGGCCCTTGGCTACTGTGTGAGTGGATTTTCTTTCCCCCTTTAAAAAAAATCTTCTGGTCCTAAGTTCACGGTCACTCCAGTTCTAGATAAGTCAAAGTGCCATGGCCTGCTGTTAGGACAAAGCAGCCAGGACAGGACAGAAGGAGCAGGTGCCCTAAATGCTGATTGCGGGCCTCAGCTGGGGCTTGAGTTTTAGATTTTCCTCAGCTGTTTCCATTCTTTGCCATAGAGGGGAATAAAATAAGGCAGTGCTGGCCCTGGACATCATCCCCTGCCCTCACCAGGATCTCTGTTTCGTGGGTGATTTTTTCACGAGGTGGTTCCCGCGAAGGCATTAGCACGTGAGGCTTCTGCCATTGTGGACACAGGCTGGCTCTCGGTGCTCATGAGACCTAAGTGGGCAAGGAGGTGCAGTGTGCTCTGAGAAGCCTGAACTTGTATGCAGGGATCTGATTGGCTGATATGCTCCCTGGCATATGGGAAGGTAAATTACATATCATTGGTTTCATGGTGTAAGATACTAGCATGAATAGAAATGTTTTTGGACTGCCCATAGGTAGGTAGTGTGCCATGGGCTTTGATGACCCTTGGTTTTCTACTAACCTCACTTGGGAAGTGATGAGTGGCTCTCTGGCAGGAAGTCCACTCAGGAGTGGTAGGGATTTGAGCTGTCTGCAAGACTAGAGTGAGTGCATGTCCGTCTCCCATGCCAAGATCAAGTGGTAGTTGAACCACTTGCTCTGGATGGAAAATCTAGTCTTCTCCATTCTTCTTACCCTCAAATCTCTCCAGCCTGCATTTATTAGCATCTTCTATCGTTGCCTAACATTTCACTGGTGCTAACCCTGAGTCCCAGGGCCTGTGAGTTCCCCAGCGCTCACCGAATTCTCTTGAGCATCCTCTAACATTTTTAATTTGCATTATTTTAAACCATGTGTGTCTGTTGTTGTATGTGGGCATGTGCACCCGAGTGCAGGCATTCACAGAAGCAGATGGGTCGGATCCCTTGGACCTGGACTTATGGAAGCCTGAGCCGCCTGACATGGGTGCTCCGCAAGAGCGGCCTGCAATCTTTGCTGCAGAGCTACCTCTCCAGCCTCCTTTTCAATTTCATTAAGTTAATTAATTTTATTTGGTACACAATATTTGTATTCATTTATAGGGCACAGCATGATCATTTGACAGTGTACATAGTGTGTAATGATCAACTCGGCGTAATTAATATTTCTAGTTCCTCAAATATTGTCATTTCTATGTCAACAGTCTCCTCCTGAAGATAAGGAGACTGAGGCCCAGGGAAGTTTGAGGGACGTGTCCAAATCTGTATAGTAATAAACTATAAAGCAGGGATTTTAAATCAGTCACGGTGGTCTGACCTCAGCGTTCCTTTCCTAAGGAACAATCCCTGGAGAAGTTAACATTTTCCACAGATCGACATCCACATTCCTGAGACTAAAGGATAGCTAATCTCTGGTTCTCTACTTTGCCTTCTAGTTTCTCTTCCTCTGACGGTCCTTCCCTTTCCTTAGTTTGTCTGGAAGGCACGGGGACTTAGGAAGCAAATGCAGAACTATCAGAGCTGGCCTACAGAGTGTGCTCAGGGCTCAGCTCTGCCGTCTTCCAGGAGGAAGAGGGAAGGTGTGGATTGGAGCTCCTACTGTGGCAACTAGGGAAGAGAGAACTGTGGGAAGTTGGGACAGTCCCCAACAGAGGTCTACTGAGGTGGACTGCCCTGTTTCCTGCTGTGCTCCAAGGGACCATAAGGGGCACAAGGGACAGCCAGGCCTTGGATGTGAGGGGCTGCTGCAACTTGGGTGTCACGAAGTCACTGGTAGTAAAATCAGCTTTCCTGTGGCCCTGATCTTCCGGAAGGGAAGGGGAGATGAGCCCAGCTTTCCACCTTAGGGTGCATCTTCAGTACATAGCCTTAGTCTTCCCCCACAAGGGGATGGGGGGGGGTGGGAACAGGGAAGGGACAGGATAATGGTCACCCACAGAGCTGAGAACCAGTGACAGGCTTCGCTGTACTTAACCATTTCTGCTTGTCTTCTCCAGCAGCAGTGTCCTAGTTAAACGGATGTTCAGGCCCATGGAAGAGGAGTTTGGTCCAACCCCATCCAAGCAGATTAAAGAAGAAAACATAAAACGAGGTATCTCTCCATCCTGGCACGCCACCAACACAGTCAGGGCTTAGGGCACAGTCTGTCCCTGTGTAAAGGCTGGGAGGTGTCTTGTCAAGAAGAACTCACCCCCAAGGCTGAATCAGTGACGACTCTGGGTTTTTCCTCTCCTGGAAGGTTATAGGCTTTTCCTTTGCCTTGGGGAATGGTAATGAGTGTCCTGACTCATCCAGCAGCGATACACAGTTCAGAAGAGATGTAACCGTGCGTGCGTGCGTGTGTATGTGTGTGTCTCTCCATGAACCAATGGTTCAGAGTTATTCAATAGATGGAAACGATCAACAACAGGCAGGACATGCCCATAAACGATCTTTATGGACATGCCCATAAAGACTTGTGGCTCCCAGCCTACCGTCTTTGCCTTTTCTTTCCTCTCTAACTTTACTTAGGGTTAAGGCACAGTCCTAGGGAAACCAAGAGTCACTCTGGTATGTGGAATTGTACCTCAACTCCACTCTAACAGCCTGGGAGCTAGTCGGACAACTGTTTTTCAGAGCTTGTGAAACTGGCACCAAAAATCACCATTAGAAATTGTACTGGGCATTAATTAAAAGTTAAGGCATGGTTTCTGAAACTTCAAAGTCACAGAGACATAGAGAGTACCCTAACGTACCAGCAGTAAGAAAACCGCCCTCTGCCCGCCCCCTACTTCTCTTTGAAGGATGGAGAAGTCACTGGACTCCTTTCTTGGCCCAGGGATTCAGGGTCAATGACAGCTTCTACTGGTTATCTGTCAGAAGTTTCTCAAGAAGGAGGTGGCCACAATTAGCACCACAGCTGTCATTACTAATTGGTTTTCTTTTGCAGCTACTTATTGGGGTGACTGGGTCAGAATCATTTTTGGGGTCCCACAGAGGCCGTCTGACTGGCTGTACGGTGTCTGGGGTCCCACAGAGGCCGTCTGACTGGCTGTACGGTGTCTGGGGTCCCACAGAGGCCGTCTGATTGGCTGTATGGTGTCTGGGGTCCCACAGAGGCCGTCTGACTGGCTGTATGGTGTCTGGGGTCCCACAGAGGCCGTCTGACTGGCTGTATGGTGTCTGGGGTCCCACAGAGGCCGTCTGATTGGCTGTATGGTGTCTGGGGTCCCACAGAGGCCGTCTGATTGGCTGTATGGTGTCTGGGGTCCCACAGAGGCCGTCTGATTGGCTGTACGGTGTCTGGGGTCCCACAGAGGCCGTCTGACTGTGGCTGTATGGTGTCTGGGGTCCCACAGAGGCCGTCTGACTGGCTGTACGGTGTCTGGGGTCCCACAGAGGCCGTCTGACCGTGGCTGTACGGTGTCTGGGGTGTTCAGTGGTTGCTCAGTTGCTGACTCCTCCCACTGCCTGCCACACCACAGGAAGCAGCTAAAGAAAGCAGACTCCCTGGGGAAGCCCTCTGTGGAGCCCAGCACACCCGCCACCCACCAGGATGGCTGTGAACAAGGCCAGCAGGGGAAGGCGGGCACTGCCCACGCCCCTCCCACACACACCCCTGGAACATTTTAGCTCCTTCCAGTCACCCCTGAGCAGCCAGGGCAGTCATGTTCTAAAGACAATGGTTTGAGGAGAGGGTATTTGTAAGTAATGCTCATTTTAATAGGATGTAATTCCAGGGTTCCCTAGGGTCAGCTGCTGGAAATTGCTTTCTCCCCTCTTGCTGTCGGCTTTTCAGGAAGAAGTTACAAAATTGCCACCAAGTACTTTCCATCGAATAATAGCCACCAGTGTGTCTTCCCTTGCATTTAATTGTCCTTCTGGATGTAATTGGGGTCTTCGTTCTTAGTACTTTCCGTATTTTGCTCACATTGCCTCCTCTTTTGATAATCTTATCAAGGTTACCAGGCAGCGTTAACGGGCGTATAGGCTGTACATTTGTAAGTTTACATCTGTAAATTTATAAATGTTTGTCAATGCAGCCAGTCTACTTATTTAATTGGCACTTTATTTTCATATTTGATATAGAGAATGTGCTACTTTCTTCTCCCCCGAGCCCTCCTCCCTCTTTCCTCTCCTCCCTTCACCGTGGCCACAGAAGAGTCCTTGTCCGTGTGGCCTTTATAAGCAGCCACTTCAAGGAAGCCTTTGGGGCAGAGGAGGGGTAGGGGTGGGGTTTTTGATTTCTCAGATTTCACGTTCCAGTTCTTCTGCAGGTGGTGGTGGTAGCTAGGAGGCTATTCGACTGTGGTTGAGGTCTAGGCTTATCGGGGGTTTTTGGCCGTTTTCCTTAGTGTGCACAGATGTGGGATTCCGGCCTTAGCCTCTTTTCTTCACTTGTAAGGGAAGTTATGCCACTGGAGGACAGAAAGGGTTGTACCTGAGTGATGATGGCATGATGGCCAGAGCAGTGGGCACAGCTGGAGGGCACGGTGATGAGGAGCAGCAGCGAGGTTGACCATGTCTGTGCTGGCACAGCTTAGGCTCTCTGAGGTACATATTTACCTGGCTAAGGATCTGTGGTCCCTGCCCATCTTAGTCAGAAGATGTAAAATTCAGAAGTTTTACAGAAATGAATAGAAAAGCTGTGCCCCAGTTTGAGGGTACAGGAATCACAACTATTTCCTGGGAGCTTCTATAGGTTGAGGACTGGGCCTTTCTGTTTGGGGGCCTAGACTAAGTCTACCACATGGACCTTTCTTCACAGAAGCCACAGGCAACTCTATGTGGTAGATCCTAGTGTCCTGTCCAGGTAATCCAGGCGTGCAGTGCAGAGATTATGCCTTTAGGACCATGGCAGAGCTTGAGCTGGATTTACACCCAGATCTGTGATTTTCCCATCCTAATTCTTCCTGGACTGTACCCTGTGGCCCTTAGGTTGTCTGCCCGGCCTCCTCAGCCTCCCAGTGTCATCCCTTCCTAGACCTGATGCCACTTCCTGGCACTCTTCCCTCACCCTCACCATGGCAATAGCTGGCTGGAAAGTACTGACTCATGGCTTTCCCTTCACGAGTCTCACAATGGTGTCTAGCTCATTCTTAGCCTGCCTGCCTCTCCTCATGGACCACAGATATCCTGAAGGCAGAGGCTGGTATTATCTAGCTCTCCGCTACAACCCCAGCTCTCGGTATAGACAGCCCGTGGCACCCAGGAGCCTTCAGCGCTGTTTACTAAGAGAGCAAAGTTGCAAGTATAAGTCACAGAGAGACCGGCTGTGTGCCCACCTTGAGAAACTCAAGAGTCTCGTGGATACGGGCAGCGGAGCGTTTACATTCCATAGGCATTAGCCTGTTGGCAGAGCAGGGGACGTCATCTTGAGACACCATGTGACAGAAGCAGCCCCCTTGGCCTCTGGTCACACTGGCCTTTACCTTCTCTTGCAGTGCTTTTGTACGTGAGGAAGGAGAATGATGACGTGTTTGACGCGCTGATGCTGAAGTCTCCCACGGTGAAGGGCCTGATGGAAGCGGTAAGCCATGAGTCACTTTCAGCCTCCAGGAGCCTTGCCCTGTTTGCCTTGGCAGAACTTACTTAGAACAATACAGTTACCAGGGTGGCTCCAGAGTGAGCTTTTGAAAGAAAACGAAGAGCTGAGATCTTTGGAAATATCCACCTGTGTCAGGGCCTATTAGCACGTTACGACAGACTTTTGGAATAACTATCAAATTCCTGTTGGTTTGAGACTAATCGTCCCAGTCAGATGCTGGGCAGGAGGGACAATATGACGTTTTCATTCATCTGTTTGCACAAAACTGAATTTGGTGGATATGGCTTCCAAATAAACACAAAGCAAATTCTATGTAGTGCCGTGTTGGCTCTGGTAACATACCCCAAAGTAAAAAGAAGACATGTTGATTCAGGGGAAAGATCTACAGAACTACAAATGGTTCTCGTTTCCTCACCGCTGACCCAGAGCAGGGTCAGTCAGCACGGCTTAGGAAAGCTCACTCTCTGTTTTTGTCACACACACTTCACCCGACGTCGACTGTGCCATGAGAATGTACTGTATTGTCATATTTGCCTCATGGGTAGTCTAGTAGAAGATAGGGGTGTGTAGTCATGGGGAAACCAGTGTGGGTCTCTCGCCTCTCTTGGTAAATCAATCATTGCAGCGTGTAAGGAAGATCCTTCCTGTAGAACCACGCAATGCCCGTCCCTTTCGTTTGTACTGTCCCTTGCTGTCCATCATAGGTAGAACGGCTACAAACCAGCACTTCCTCCTTTCTTACAGCTGGCAGAGGAATATTCCACTGCATGGACAACAACATATTTCTCCTTTTCATTTATCCAGCTGACAGACCCAATGTCTTTCCTTTAGGGGTGATATTGTCATGGGTTAGCTTTTGTTTCCAATTCTTTTTGGAGGATATATGGAGTGAAATTGGTCAGGGGGCCACAAAATGCCATCTATTACATGATTCAGCTTATCAGTAATAGCAGAATTCCTGACCTCATGGAGAGAGAGAACAGACAAGTGGTTGCCAGGGCCTTAGGAGCCAGAGGTGGGACAGAGCTTAATGCATAATGCATTTTGGAAATGATGAGGGTGTTTTAGTGTTCTAGTGAGAACTGTTGCATAATACTGTGACTGTATTATGATTTTCTATCTATAGTTCTTACTGATAACCAGAAAAATTGTAAACAATACTTAAGAATGTGACCACTGTGGCTTTTGTGCTGTCCCTATGATGGTGTCCATGCCCCTAGGTCTCTTGGAGTGAAGCAGCAAGGCCACCTTCAAAAAAGCACAGACAGGGGGAGGGCTTGGTAACTTTTTGCTCATCATGATTGGTGGGGGGGATTATCAATTTCTGTTCTCCAGAAATAAATGGAAGAAAGCTTATGGAATATATACCTCCTAATGAGCCACATTTTGCTGTTGTGTGTTTGTTTTGTTTTTGAGGCAGGGTCTCACTGTGTAGCCCCAGCCAGCCTGTTAGTTACTGTGTTGACAAAGAACTCAGAAATCTGCCTACTTCTGTTGTGTCCTACTCCCGTAACTCCCCCTGCACTGGGATCAAAGGCCTGCGCCACCACACCCAGCTCCCGATTTTTAAACTGGTAAGAGCAGATACTACACAAGGCCTAGAAGGGATGAGTTAAGATTTTCTTTTTTAAGGGGCTTTGGTGTTTTGCCATGAGTGTCAGGTTTGCAGGAACTGGGGTTCCTGGATAGTTGTAAGCCGCCATGTGGGTGCTGAGAATTGAACTCAGGTCCTCCGGAAGATCAGGTGGTGCTCTTGACTGCTGAGCCATCTCTCCAGCCCAGAACCAAGATGTTTTTAAAGGACCTTGAAATAGGTACAGGATGGACAAATGTCTGATAGACGTATTGAGATTTCTCTGAACAACTTTGAACATTTTCATACGCAGTCTGGCTCTTTTCTTTTTAATTACTCTTCTCTCATACACGCTGACACCACGTTTCCCTCCCTCCCTGTGCTCCGCCTGTACTTCTCTTGCCGTCCTTCAAGGGCAGCCCACCACTCCTCATTGTTTTGGTGGATTGCGACAGGAAGTGAGTGGGGGAGTGGGTTAGCCCTTGCGCTAAGTCAGGTTTCTCCATGGCCCTGGCTAGAGCTGGCTTCATCTCCCCTTCAACTGGGACAAACGGTTCTTTAAAGTCACAAACTACCTGCTTGCCTCTGGGGTGGGGCAGGTGGGGCAGGTGGCCAAGCCCTTTTAGGGTCGTCAGGAGATGTGAGCTGGTGGTGAGCTGCCAACCGAGTTCATGGACGTTAGGGGTATCGTGGAGAAGCACGGGTTGTAGGAGGACTTCGGCACCTGGTCAGGATGGTGTCTTTTGAAGAACACTAGGTCTTGCTAATAGTTCTATCATGAATTTATCTGGGTCTCTGTGTGAAGTAAGAAAACACAGGGATGTGGATCCTCAGAGGATCAGGACATTTTGTTATTACCAGTACATGTCTGTAGGCTGTAACACATAAGTGCATGTGCATGTAACATACATATCTAACACTGATATGTATTCCTGTGTATTGTAATGTGTATATGTAATATGAAGACAGAAATTACTCAGTCATCTCTCTGTATCTAGAACTGGTCCCTGAATCCTCTATAATAACAAACCCATGAGTGCTCAAGCCCAGGTCTTGTATCTAAAATGGTGTACTTGTTTATAATCTCTGCACATCCCTCCATTGCTTAAAACCCCTAGTTTACACTATCTGATGAATATAACTATGTAATGCTATGTAAATGGCATTGTTCAAAAAATAATGGCCAAAAGATATGTGCACAGTCAGTACATATACAACTTTTATCAGTTAAGTATTTTTGGTCTTTGGTCAGTTAAGCCTGTGGGTGCAGACCCTGCAGTTACAGAGGGCAGACTGTATATGTGTATGTATTGATAGTGGCATAAATATGGATAATATGTAAGTATTACATAGGTAAATATGCAAATACTACACTTTAGTGGTTGGTATTATAATCTTTGCCTTAGAAAACCTCTCATCAAAATTTGGCAGTGTTCCTTACCAGCTAGACAAAGTTTCTTAGCCCGTCTTTCATTCCTAAAATGGAAATAATATAAGTATCTGGCTTCCAGGGTCATGGTGAGAACCAAATGAGACAGTACAGACAGGAGCTTTTCTCTGGCCTGGTAAGGCTGTGGTAATGGAGTCTTAATAAACAATCCGTCTACAGCCTGAACGCACCCGATCTCGTCTTAATAAACAATCCCCCCCCCCTTGGGTTTTCAAGGCAGGGTATCTCTGTATAACCCTGGCTGTCCTGGAACTCACTCTGTAGATCATATAGGCTGGCTTCTAACTCATAGAGATCTGCCTGCCTCTGCCTTCTGAATGCTGGGATTAAAGGCGTGAGCCTCCACCACCTGGCCCAAAGCATCCTTTTGAGTAGGAAGCAGAATCAGAAAACACATAGTGCTGTTCAGATGTTGAGTTCTCAAATGCTCATTGTCTAAAAGGATGGATGACAAATCTATTGTGTAGTGATTGCTGTGGAAGGGGCTGTGGGAATGGTGCCAGTGTCTCCCCCAAAGCTCCTGAGCCAGAGGACCATACTTCTCTGAGTAAGGGACTTCATGTCTCCCAGTCCAGTGTCCCATAGGAAGCTAGTCCTTAGAACGAGCCTTCATATTTTGTTTTGACTCAATTTCATAATAATGCTTTTCCTTTTTTTAATTTTGGGTGACAACTAAAAGTTACTTGCAGAAAAAGAGACAACATCAAGTAAGGGGGAAAAATACCTCTGAAGGAAGTTTCTTAAGAGACAATGTGCTTGTCAAGCCATCCTTGTTGCTGCCACTTGATGAAAATGGTTTGCTGTGGCCACAAACAGCCCCCACCCCCTACTAGGAAGATAGAGTTTTAATTCTGTAAGCGGACCCATCGAATCCCCCTGTGTTTCAAAGGTGCCATCTGAGAGTCCTGCTCACAGCCTTTGCTTCCAGCTCCCATGCCCCTCCCGGCAGATTTCCCAGGCGTGGCTGAGGAGTAACATAAATAGTCTCCTGCCTGAACACAGATGTTTGAATCATGACCTGGTGTGTGCCCTCACTTGAATTGGCCTGACTCTTCCCTAAGAGCTATTCCCTTGGAGTCGAAATAAGTCCTCTCATATATTATGGGGAGCCAGATCCTGCAAATAAACGTTTAAGCCATGGAATGACCCCATGAGCTATTTCTTAGTGTACCCCTGTGATGTAGAATTGGCCTGGCTTGGGACACTTCCTCCATTGGTCACTGATAGTTTGGGAAGACCAACTACTGATAAAGGAACTCAGTGTTCAAGGGGCATCAGACTCACAACCCCAAGAGTGAAAGTGTGACGCCACCAGGTCCCTGTGTGTCCTTCTGAGACAGGACTGTCTGTCTGATAGAGTTCCCACTGCTTGCTACATCCCTGGTGGGCTATACGAAAAGGATGGCCTCGATCAAATGGAGCCATCAAAGGCATTAAGTGGCAGCGTAAATATTCCTCAGGAGCAGATGGCAGACCCTGTGGGTGATGTGGCTACTCCATAGCTGAAGACTGGGCTGCCCTCCATAGAGAGCGCGCTCCCATCTCCCCTGTCCAGATTCCCGCCTTCAGTTGTAAATTACTTGGAGATATACATGAATAAGCATGAAAAGCCTTTCACTTTATAGAAGCTCTTGGCATTAGCATACAAGGCATTAGATGCCATTATAGTACTTTTGAATAAAGCGAGTTTAGCATATTTCCCTCCCTCACTGTCTCCCTTACTTCCTGTCATCGTCCTCCCTGGCAGCCTCCCCAGGGCTCTTTCCTGTCACTCTGCGGGTTTTTTTGGGTTTTTTGTTTTGTTTTGTTTTTTTTTTTTTTTTTTTTTTTCCCAGCTTCTTTTAAAGTTTCTTTTTCTTTAAAATAATCATTATCAGCAGCGATGAAATGTGGCTTTTGTCATCTAGGTAGACTAGAACAGTGTCCCCCCCTTCCTTCAGGCTGTGAATTGACATTTGAGTCAGAAGGTGCTGTAACAGACAGATTCATGAGCAGTGTGGGGTGGTGGCTGTTTCTGTAGCCACGTGGATTTCCTATAGCCTGTGAGCCAGGCGCTGTGATTGGACGGGGTGATTCTGCTATTTAGAAGGTGTGGTATACTCAGTTTTAGAAAACAGATTTGTGTTTTTATGTGTCTGCACAGTGTGTTTTCATGTGTGAGCATGGCGGTGGCATGTGTGGAGGTCAGGACAACCTTGAGGTCACTTCCTGTCCACCCCCCTTGAGTACCTGCATCTATGCTGCCCCCACCAAGTTCCTGTCCATCATCCCCTTTGAGAACCTGCAAACCTGTGGCTTTGGCCAGCCATACTTAGGAAATAACTCAAGAAGCATTGGAAAGCAGGCTGCTCTCTTCGCCTCTCTGTCCTCAGATGTCTTGTTTCTGTGTATCTGGATGAAGAGTTCTTTCCATTCTGCGGTGGGAACGCAACGGAAGGGTAGGAACCTAAAGTTCTCTGGGACAAACACGCCTCAGATGTCAGCTCTCCCCTAGGACTTTTCAGTCTCCTTTCTAGCCTTTCTGCCCTTCCTAAGTGTGGTCCCAAACCTCACCTGCCCCAGCTGTCTGTGACCCATTAGCAATTTTGTAGAGAAGCCGTGGCACCTATTCGGAGCAGATCTTTCCAAAATGCATCTCTCAACTCTTACAAAAATGACACAATCGTAAAAATAACCGCTACAGAATTATACAAAGTAAAGCGAGCTGACCATTTATCAACTGGAGCCACCATTAGTATGGCTCCATCTCATTTAGATATTTTCTGGACATTTAAACATGTTAAAAATGCAGACAAGATTATACTGTATAGACACGTTTTAACCTATTTTCTCCCACCTATTATGCTAAGGAGCTAAAAAAAAATTTAAGCAATATAAGCTTTTCATATTTTTAAATGAGGTCGGTGAAGAAAATATCAGGATATTTGATGGATGTTTGTATTGCTGGAGGTTCTTGCCCAGCCTGTCCAGCAGATGCCTTGCCTCAAATGAACGCACATTTGCTATTGGCCGAAGGGTAGGGCTTCTTATTTGGCTGGCTCTGTCTTAATTATTAACCCATTTCTATCAATCCATGTATTGCCACCCACGAGACTGTGGCTTGCCCGGTAATACCCCGGCATGTTGTTATTTCTTCAGCAACTTGACTACTCTGTGTCAGGCTCACTCTGCCTACTTTTTCCAGAATTCTCCTCATCTCCTAGTCCTGCCTATCTTCCTGCCTCCTTGGCCAAACAGTGTTTTATTCATTAACCAATAAGAGAAACACATATACAGAAGAATTTCCCCCGTCATGTTTGTTACGTTTTTTTCTATTTCTGAGTATGAGAGTATTTCTGTATGTCAGGTTATATAGATGTGGATATAGAGAGTCATAGATACAGACATGCATATAGACACAGAGTCTGGGTCAGGACATATAAACTTTACTTTTAAAGACTTTGTGCTCTCCCAAACTCCTTTCCCAGGAGAGCACTCCATCATCCCATCTACAGAACCTGAACGCCACTGTCCTCATACTCTGACCCGTGCTAGGTTATTACTTCACCTTTGTTATGTTTTAGACTTAGCTTCTAATGTGTTCCTGTGTCTGCCGTGTGTGTGTGTGTGTGTGTGTGTGTGTGTGTGTGTGTGTGTGTGTGTGTGCGTGCGTGCGTGCAGGTACTCACGGGCACCAGTAGAGGGCATCAGATTCCTTGGAGCTTCAAGCCAGATGCAAAACTCGCTTTCACCTGCTGCGCTGCCTCACTGGCCCCTCTTTGCAGTTTTTGATAGTTTGATAAACTGAAAGTACTATCCTACTATTGTTTCCATTTGGAAAATTTAGATAAAAGTGTAGTAGTTTTCGCATTTAATTTTTCTTCTATGAAATGCTGTATTGTTGTGTTTTCTCCCCTGCCCTGCTCCCCATCCATCCAGAATTTTTTTTTTTTTTTTTTAAAACTTAAAGCAGTTTGTATTTTCAAATGCTTCCCAGCATGTTATTTTGCTTTGCGGTGGTTTTTGATCTACTGATATTTTAACATTCCCCATTGTTATTAATATTTACCCTTGTTTTGCAGACTTCATGTGTCTCTAGAAAACTGTACTTTAAGATGATAGTTGATAGAGTTAATGAAGGATTAGCTCAAGTTTATTTCTTCCTGTACTTTTGTGGTCTCATCTTTCATATATAATTCCTTTTATCTCCAGACCTTTTTTTCCTCACTCCCAATTGAGGCTGGTCTTGAGTGTGCTCCATAGCTCACTTGATCTCAGGCTCTCATGTCTCCTGCTGGGGTTACAGGCGTGTGCCACCACACCTGGCTCACTTGAAATCTGTTTTGAAGTATGGCTACCTATTTAATCCAACACTGTGATTAGAAGCCTTTTGTTTTTTATATTAAACCAACCGGAAATGCCACTTCCATCAAGATTGTTTTGCTGAGTGATTTAAGTTCTGTCCAAAGAGAAATGTGTGTTCACATTACGAACTGCAATTCAAGTGTTTCTTTTTCTCTTCCTGCTAAGGACAGAGAAAATATGACTTCGTGAAGACAGTCAGGGGACACTGTAGGCCTGGTGGAGACCCTATCGGTTGCTAACTGTGATTTGGAGCTCCGTTCACTTGCTGGCGTATGGAGCCAGTGGTGTGGGTAGTTGAGGGACATTGGGGGACACTGTCCTCTGCTCAGTGACATGTGAGTTGAGCCCAAATGGTCTGTGTTGCTTGTACTGTGCCTCTGCCCCCTGCTGACCTGCTTGTTCATGTTTCAGCTGTCTGAGAAGTATGGACTGCCAGTGGAGAAAATCACAAAGCTTTATAAGAAGAGCAAAAAGGGGTAAGAAAGAAGCTAAACTCAGCTAGCGTCTGTTGTAATTTAATTAAAGCAGCACGTGAGAGAAAAATGCCATGTGAATGGGGTTCAAGCAGGGTGTTTTTAATTAGGGAAAGAGATCATAAGAAGGGGAGGGGGGACAGGAGCAACAGGAGAGAGGAGAAAGGAAATGGGGGGGGGGAGGTGGGCAGGGCCCTTTAAAAGGGAACATAGTGAGTGTGCACAGGTGGTGCTCTTAGTGGCTGCAGCTGAGGTTATATCCTGTCAGGACACCTGTCAGGCCAGTACAGGTTCCTGAATACTAACAGCTTTCGTCTGCAAGATGCATTTTTAAAACGGTACTTTCTTTATCTCGTGTTATCACCTCCGTGACCCACAGTGCCACTTAAAGATCTTTAGTGATTGAGGCAAGGAGACCCACCGTGCACTGTCAAGATGTCACCCGAGATGCTTGCATCTATAAGACAGCATTACCAGCAGATCTGGGGTGGAGGGTGTGGGGGAGTTGGGGGGGGGGAATAGAGAGGTAGTGGAGACATTGGGGACAACGAAGAGGTCATCACTCTTGACATTGGCTCCTGAGTGACACAGTAGGAAAAAAAGTTGAGGCATAGGGAATTATTATTCCAAGGCAATGATTAATGAAATCTTCTCAAGCGGTCATTGGGCTTGCTTGCCCACATTGTTAAGAACAATTGGCCCTTCCTGGTTGGGTGGTCAGGTGGCTCTGAGTTCCCTACTCTGATTCACCTGTATTTGTGTCTCCTCACAGTTTACTGATAGGGAAATGAAGCCAGGCTTGCTTATACATTTTGCTCCTGGTCTTGTGTTTACAGTAAACAGAACACAGACCTGTGTGGGGGGGTGTCTGGCTCACCTGTTCCTTTCAGGGCCCTTCATGGGCTTCCTCTGGGAGAGTAGCTGCCTTTAAACCCTTGTCCGCACCCTCTTCATTAAGGAAGCATGGCCTGGGATTCTTGGGCTTTCAGAATTTGGGTCCTTTGGGTGACCAAGCATCAAACTCAAGTTCTTGTTGGAAACTCAGTGAATGTGGGCTGCAATTTTTTCCAAGGTTGATGCAGTGGGTGGGGGCTATTTCTTTGTGTGACACTATAAAGTCCTGCTGGCTAGAAAGCCTGATGTCTGTGTGAAGTCCTGTTCCCAGGCTTGTATCCTAACAGCAACTCACCAGGCATGGGTGGTCCTTAGTTTTGTGAAGGAACAGGCTGAAGCTGTGACAGGCAAAGCATCTTGCCTGACAGCACCAGTATAAAAGGATTTAGCGAGTCATTCCTTCTCAAACTAAAAGCTCTTCGACAAGAAGAATGAGAGAGTCTCAGACACTCCCTGGTCACAGAGAGAGGTCCCGAGGGACAGCTTACTGGTTAAGGGCACCTGTTACTCTTCCACAGGACCTGGGTTCACTTTTCAGCACCCACATGGTAGCTCACAGCCATCTGCCATTCTAGTCCAGGTGGTTAAATGTCCCCTTCTGAACTCTGAGGGCACCACATAACACTTATGCTACACATACATACATTCAGGCAAAACACTCACATAGAAAACAAAAATTAACTAAGATCACAGATAGACTCCGGAAGAGCGTTTTCTTGAAACAAAACCAACATGGGGTAGGCGGGGTGGGGGAGATAGGGGGGTAGCTTGGGGGTGAGGTAAACCCGTCTTTAGACCTAGCCTAGTCATTACTGGCTGGATGAACTAGGGGAGCCGTAGACCTTGCCAAGTTGTTTCTTACCTGCAAATTACTGACTATAAAACTTGTCTTTGAAGTTGCTCTGAAGCCCTGTGTACTGTCTTTTACCATACATATGTGTTCAGCCAAGGGCAGCTGAGGTTTGTAATAAAAGTCCTTAGGGGCCAAACTATTTGGGCTGTGATTTTGTTAGTAGCCAACAATAGTTTGGATCTCAGTTGGCTTCTCTGAGCCCTGGCTGACTAATGTGGAAAGGCATACGTGTTGAGCCAAATGGTCTCAGAAGCCCCGTTTAATAAGAAATCGTGAAGGTAGTTCAGGGAAACTGAGGCTCTTTTTTTTTTTTAACCCAGTTTTGGGGGAAGGAACTAGAAGTTTAGGGAACACCCAGCCTGAAGGGTACCCTTTCACTGAGCCCTCTGTTTACTGGTTTTATTTCTTACCCCCCCCCATGTCACTCCAACTGTGACAGCATCCTGGTGAACATGGACGACAACATCATCGAACACTATTCAAACGAGGACACCTTCATTCTTAACATGGAGAGCATGGTGGAGGGCTTCAAGATCACACTTATGGAGATCTGAGCCCTGGGCACAAGTCCCCTTGACAGGAGCTTCCTTCAATGCATTCCTTCCTGGGATAGATGTGATCCTGGATGCCCCAGAACCTGGAGATCCATCTCACCCACCTCACAAGACTGTTACAAGATTGCTGGGAAGGGTGCGGGGCCCAAGGCCCGGTGACTGTTGAACTCATCCACTTGCTCCCCATGGAGCTGAAGCCTGAGCCCCTCCCTCAGCAAATTTCTTTGGGCCTGTCAGGCCCTTATTTATTGCCCATTTCCCCCTAAGAGCCTGGAGTCCAGGCCCTCCAGGACTCTACAGGTTACTGATAGCTCCAATTGAGACATCCAGAGTTCCCCCTTCAAGGGCAACACAGCCAGTCCACTCATCTCGAAGTGCCCGGGGAGCTGGTGTGTCTTTTTCTTACCTCTCCACATCTCTTGAGCAGATGGACAAGACGGAGCTGCTTCTTGATGCAGTCTTCTTCATGTGTGGGGTAAGGACACCCACTTCCTGGCCCCAAACCTCCAGATAGCTCTGAGGAAGGTCATTTTACTAAATACCTCCAGGGGTTCTCAGCAAGTAGCCACTGGGCTTTGTACAGGAAGACATTCCGATAATAAGGAACACAAAGGATGCCTGATGCCCATGTACATATTTTGTACATAATATTGCAATAATATATTTTACCTGTGGTATGTGGGTGTGTTTACTGCCACTGGCCTGGAGGAGACACATACCTAGATACTCAGAGCATTCAAGTGGCCCTGGGGTGTCATGTGACTGTGGTGAATGCCAGGATCGACTCTCCATTGGTTCATGCCTGAGGACTTGTTCCCTGTACCCAGACGGAGCCCCTTTTGCCTCAAATGTGACGGACTCCTCTGAGGCCATCACATTTTATTTCATGGTGATGTCTGGGAAAGGCCATACTGTCAGTGCCTTGTTTCACTTTGGCATGGGGCATCTTAAGCCTTTTGCAAAGTTTCTGCCGGGGTTTACACCGGGGCCCTGTTGCTGGGACCTACTGCAGAACTACTTGACCATCGTGGGGATCCTGAACACTGTAGTGCCTCACAGCTTACAAGCATGCCCTTCATCTCAAGTGGCCCCTTTGGGAACCCAACTGCAGCTTTGCGAAGCATATCAATCCGCAGCTCGGCTGGGCTGCAGCAGATGTTGCTTCTGAAGACCGGAAGAGGTGGGGCTATCCATGCAGGCTGTGGAAAGCCGCAGGAGCAACCCCGGCACTTCTAAAACCTGCTTTGGGGGACACACGGGAGAGCTGAGGCTGTTCCTCTCCTTACCCTTTGGAGGTCGAGAGAAACTTCCCTGAAAATCGCGAAAGTGTGCCCCATCTTGGGCCGCTGTTCTCTTTGCGTGGACAGGTCGGTAGCTTACGGACTTGTATGTGCCCCGTGGGCTGAGCACTAGTTTGAGTAGCCAGGCGCATCCCACTTCAAGGCCTGGGTGATGGGACAGCTTCCATGGATAGGTCCAGATTTGTCTGTAAAGCACTTTGATGTCTTACCTGGAGGCTCCGTTCTCGGCTCCTGCCTTCTTGCCTCACCTGCCCCTGAGGCTCAGAGCAGCTGAGGCAGTTACGAGCCCAGCCATTGCTCTGCAAAACTGGAGAGGAATCAAATGGGATGGAGAGTAGGTGCTTTAACAAAGAGGATCTCAAGGGATAGCAGGGACGCCTTTCTGAGAGCCCAGCGCTCCTTTGTGTTGCCAAAGGTTTGCATCCTGGGCTCAGCTCTCTTCCAGTCCCCTCCTCCATTTCAAACGCCATTCCCTGAACCAGCAGCTTGGGGACCCTCCAGAGTACTAGCGGGTGTCTAATCTAAGATGGACTAACACTGTTGGACTAACACTATATGCGCTCTACAGTGCTTGGGGTTGGCTCAAACCATGATTGGCTGATCTTACAGATGATAGCCATCGCCAGAACAAGGGATAGAAGCCAGTGCCACAAACGAGTGACAGTGTCAGGTCCTGGAGTATCTGTTGGGGGGACTTCCATGTGTCTGCCCCTTGCTGTGTTAGCAGACCTTTGCCAAGCGTCATATCTTGATCATCAAAAACACTCCAGCAAGATAGAAAAAGCATGCCTCGACTTTGTTCCCTGAAAAGTCCCGCCCAAATAAAGATTTTTTTTTTTTTTAAATTCATAAAAGATGGGTGATGCCTGAAGCGAGAAAGTGTTTTTGGTCCATGACCTTATATTGTTGAAACTTCCCCAGTGTTTAGAAATTGGAAATGACACAAAAATACACAGTGGGCTGTCACGTTGCAAATCAGTCCTAATGAAGAAACCTGGGAAACATGAAATGAGTCAAAACATTTATTTTTCCTTCGTATTTAACAGTAATGGAAATGCAAGAGAAAAGAGGGTTTGTGCCAAATTCTAAGAATGGCCCTTTCTGAAAGAGAAGGGGAGATTAATATGCATACAATTCTGCTCCCACATAAAAAAATAAAAAGAGTAAATGTAACTTAATAGTTTTGTAAATGGGAAAGGGGGAATCTATAAACTATAAATATGTTATTTTATTTTTTGTACATTTTTAAGAAGAAAAATAAATATTCATAACATGTGTCAAGCAGCAGCGTCTGATTTCTGTGTGGCCTGGGCTCTGGGCTGCTCTTTGCACCTTTAGACTCTGCTTGCAGTAGAGCATGGACTTGCTCTTCCACACCCCCACCCTCCATTATACCAGGCCATAGTGAGAAGAGGCCTCTAGTGTGGCTCTGGAGGGCCCTCACAGCTGCACGCCCCTCACAGCTGCACGCCCCTCACAGCTGCACGTGACTGGTTCCCTCAGATGAGTTCTGTCTACCCACCAGGGTTCCTCCCTGGTACTCTTTGACTTTCAGAGATTCTTTCTGCTGCCTTATACTGGTGCTAACCTCTACCGAGAGTCTAAGGTGACATCCACATTTCCTGACACTCCAAGACGCACATCTCAGCATACCTTCTGTTGTGGGGCTCCTGCGGTACCCACACAGTATTACAGAACCATTCACACTGCTCCAGCTGTATCTTCAGTGATCTCCCAAGAGCATCCATCCCAATATCCTTGACAGCATCCTTCTCTCTCCAGGCACAGTGGGGCCCCAAAAGCCATCCCTGGCTCATGTCAACCCTAGTGGGATCCTTGCCTTCTGTGTTCATATCAGAAGTCGGGAAGAACAAGCCTGAAGAGAGGACTATTATTATGGGAACTTCTGGAATGAAATGGGCTTTTATTACTATCCATGTCTTTCCTCTTCCTTGGGTTGGACTGGTCTATCTTCACACCTGCCTGAATGGGAGGTGTGAGGGATGTGATTGCTCACCATGTTTACCCTTTGCTGTGGCCCTCACAATGAACTATGATCATCACACACACACACACACACACACACACACACACACACAGTTCCCTGAACTGTGGAAGTTTCCCTTGGTGCCATATTCCATTCATTCCAAGTGTTCTTTTTTTCAAGACATGGTTGTTGCTGGAGTTTCGTCCTGTCTGGTCCTGCCACCCTTCTCAGCACCAAATAAACACATGGACACTATATTAATTATAAAACTGTTGTTCAGTGGCTAGGAGGTCATCTTACTGACAGCTCTGCCTTAATTATTAACCCATTTCTGTTAATCTGTATTTTCACATCATCCTGGTTTACCAGAGAATGCCTGGACCTGTTACTCCTTTGGCAGCTACAAGGCATCTCCCTGCCTACCTTTCCCAGAATTCTCCTTGTCTCCTAGCCCCACCTATCTTCCTGGCTCTATTGGCCAGTGTTTTCTTCATTAGCCAGTAAGAGAAACACACAGAAGGACATCACTCATCTGTAGCTTTGTAGACCAGGCTGAGATCCACCTGCCTCTGCCTCCCAAGCGCTGGGATTAAAGGTGTGCACCACCACCAGCCAGCTCCCAAAGGTTCTTAGGCTCTGCACTTCTCTAGGCTCCTCTAGATGGGTGTGTGGTTAGTACTGGGAGTTTGAGGAAAGATGGTGAGGGCCTCAGATAAGTTAGAAGCAGAAGAGAGGAGAGCCATGAAGAGACACAGCAGACGCATGCCACCGTTGCTCATTGGGCATCAAATGTCCATTATGGACGGAAGTTTACACCTGTTCTTGAGTCAAGTACTCCCCTCCAGGTGGTCCCGCCCTTTGCTAACAATGTCTCCCCAACTCACACACTTCCAAGCCTTCCTTCCACACGTAAACTGACTGGGGGCACTATCGGCCTGCAGCATGAGCCTAACCCCATGATGAGACACTGCTATTGAAGAAGTTCAGCTTGGTGAGGGCTGACTGACCATTTGCCCATCTTTGTGGGGGTGGTACGTCCTGGTGAGTATTTTTATTAGTATGTACTAGTTTCATTATATTTGTATATACATGTATAATTGGGTCCTGTTCATCCCTCATCCTTTTGTCTTCCTCCTACCCCATTTGTCCCTTCCCCAGCTACCTTTAATGCAAATAGCTTCTTGGGGACAAGAGTGGAGTCTTGTAAGTCTCTCCCCATCTTCCTCCCATCCGTGAGGGATTGTTGATGGGCCCAGTCTTGTGCACTATAGTGAATATTTAACTAAGGGTAGGGGTTAACAGGTTTTCACCATTTCTCCCAGAGAAACACTAAAATATCAGCTATTCCCTGAGCAATTCATGCAGACAAGCCTTCCTGCAGCCTGGGTGCTCCAAGAGAGACTTAGCGTCACTGTCTTTGAATCCCTAGAGGTTTCTGGGTCCATGCACCACACATCAATGCCCCCAGTATGACGGACTCCCAGGCAACAGGCAGCTCCGAGTTAGAAATGCATGGAAATGGCTGGGTTGTAAGTTGTAGTGGCATCTTGCCTTGCCAGTGAGCTTGTAGTGGTGGCCACACCCTTTGGGCATGGTTTCAGGTGCAGATGTGACCCATTATGAGGTTGAGGAGGAGCTGGCTCTCACTCTCTTGGGTCTCAGAGAGCATTGGAAGGGCAGAGACCGCATCTTCTGGAGCAGGAAGACCGCGGTAGTTATTTACTCTTATCTGTGTAAGTGCTTCCCTAATAAACAACTAATTGTCATTTATCTTGGGTCAGGTGGACTCATTTAAATCCCACCATCACCACCACCAATGACTTGATGTAGTTTGGACAGTACTTGTACATAGATTCTAACTGTGTGCAATTGGAAAATACTCCACATCTGCTCTGCGAAGGTCTAGTTGGCCTATTGGAAGCCCACTGTTAGGCTTATGAGGGGCCCATCTTTGGCCTCTGAGGGGCGTATTGTAGCTCCTACTCTAGAGAGCAAGAGAATAGCCCTTGTTCGTACAGCATGAGCCTTTTGGGCTGCAGTCAAGGCCAGTGATAACAGAATCTGAAGGGCTTTGGGGATACAGGTCTTCCATCATGATATCTCTTCCACAGAATCTTTTCTGACAGTGGGAAGGGCTTCGCTACCGAGGAGGCACTTGCCTGGGGATTTGCTTGGGTTCCTCTTGTTTGGGGAAGGAAAAGAAATGGGAGGGAGGGAAGGCCAAGCTGGGAAGGAAGGAAGGAAGGAAGGAGGAAAGGAAGGAGGGAGGGAGGGAAGGAAGAAGGAAGGAAGGAAGGAAGGCAGGCAGGCAAGCAGGCAGGCATACATGGACCAACAAAGTTTCAAAACCCTTCCATCCCCAAACCTGGACCCTCCCCAAGACACAGCCATCTGGGGCAATTTAGTAAGGAAAATCTCATGTTTCAGACAATTATATTAAATAATGAACATGCTTTAATGCCAGGCAAGAGCTATACAATCAACTGACAAGGGGCCACGTCACGTAGTATGACATACATATTATTAAGTCCATCTGTAGAAAGTCCCCCTGGAGTGTATTGCTGGGACGGGACAACACCCACAGCATCCCTTCTCTGTCTTACGAGAGGTATGAACAGTCAACTTTGAAACATCCTTCAAGTCATCCATTTAGTCCAGTCCGTGAACAACACAGGCTGCCTTTACTTGGAACAAATCAGGTCCCACATCCTCCAGATATCCCCCAACACAGCCCCAACAATGCCTCACCAGAGAAACATGTCTTCAGGCGCTCAGCCATCTGGGAACTGTGAAGTCCCTTGGTCAACATGTGTAAAGTTAGACATACCCCGTACCTCCCTGGGGGGAGTACAAGTAGGTGTGCTATGTCTGTGTGGCTAGCTAGTTCTGGGACTCTGTGCATCTTCTGGTGGCCTCGGGGTTTTCCAACCTATGCCTCTGGCTCTTTGATTTCCCAATAGCCGGAAGCCACCTTTTCTAGTTTCCACCCCAGGTCTAAGTTCGAGGAAACATGGGGTCTGGCTCAACTTGAGGCAGAACCCACCCAAGTGGATCTCCAACATCAACTGATGCCATTCATGAAATTTGAGTCAGAAAGAGGAATTCAGCCCTCAGCTCAGCGGGGGTTACGTGGCCCGAGTGCTGGGACCCTGACTTGTTCCACAACTCGTGTTCATTCTGCTGTTCAAACCCAGACTTCACCATTTGGCCCACAGGATTTGGCAAGCCTTGGTACAAAACGTAAGGAGAAGCCACTAGGGAAAATGAAGATTACAAAATTTCAACACACGAAGTGATTCATATTAATCCACCATTGAAGTCTGAACTTCCGCCAGGTCCCGAGAGTGTTGCCGTGGGGACCTGCAGGCTGGCAAGAACCTGTGGGCATCACTTTCCTTGCCGTTGTGTTTATCTTTTTGTGGTTCTTGTTCTACAGGAAGTGGCTTGGCAGCACACGGAGACCTTCCTGCCTCCTCTTAGGCAGGTTCCGCTGCCGACACCCTTGAGTATTTGGGCCTTCTGTTGCCAGCCAGCGGTTTGTGGGGCTTTGGCTCACCTGTGGCCAGAAGTTCCTACTTCCAGCCCTCATTTCAAAGTAGTGTGTGTGAGGTGACCCACCCAAGCAGCAATTCAACTTTGCTACATGCAGAGGACACAGTGCTGTTGGGATCCCCATGGGCCTTGGGCACTTCAGGCCCCCTTGCTGGTTCTTACGGTGGGTGAATTGTCCATCTGCCCCTCACCTGACTCTTTGAAGGGTACCTGGGGACAGGAAAAATGAACATTCTAGATGTGGCTCCCCCACCCAAGGATGTGGGTTAAACTGCTAGGAAGTCTCTGTTTTTCAAGTCTATGGAACATTCATCTGCTCAGGAAAATGTCACACCTGCATTTGTTGGCGGTGCGCTGCTGGGCCTTGGCCCCTGTCAGTGTGGAGCTCTCCATGCTGGACAAGACACTGGGGAAGCTGCCTTCCGCATGTCCTCCAGCCACCTGGACTCTGGAAAACCGTTCAGACATCAGAGCTGGGCCCTTTCATCATCCCTTTGTGATTTTATGGAGTATATAAAATACACTTGTTGACTGGTACATTTGTGCAAAGACAGGTATGACTTGAAAACAAGACATTGACATTCATTGTAGTTGGCTTCACAATAAGCTAAAAACAGTCTTCTGTAGTAAGATTGTATTAGCACTTATTAAACATGCACTTACAAGGCAAAACACTTAATTTGGTCTGCAATACCCAATATTATATATATACAGCAGTCTTTTCTTTTTATAAATCACAAGTAGGGAGTTAGATGGGTCTGGTTTTAGAATCTGTTACCATCTGTGTTTGATTTTTCAAAGAAACTCTTATTATAAGCTCAACTCGTGTAAACCTGTGGGAAAAAAATAGCTGAGCCATCTATGCCCGTCTCCTGTTAATTTACCTTGAAATGTTCACAGCTTAGAAACTACAGCCCTCTGGGGTAGAGAGAAGAGTTGGCCTCTTCCGGAATGTCCCAGCTCTCTTTAACAGCCTTACCCCAAAGGGTAACCTGTTCTTAGGAATCACAGCCCCAGGTGCCCACGATAGCTCCGAGGGCATGCGTGACAACAGACCCACATGAGGAGTTTGGTCTTTCAAACAAAGCCCCTCCGGGTTGGGTGGAAACCCTTCTCTTGCACCCAAGTCTTGGGTTTTTTAAGACAGAGACATTAGAATCAAGGGGGTGGGGACAGGGATAATGATGATTAAAAAAAACATCCAACAGGGAACACCACGAAGTGTGCTCATGCACTCCACAGCACACAGGGCTCTGGGCATTCCCACAAAGCGCCCACGACGAAAGAAGCAAGAGGCAAAGGTGTCACAGGAGGGCACATCTGACCGAAGAGGGGACAACGTCACCATCAATATTGTTTGGCAAAAAAAAAAAAAAAAAAGTTTAACCACTAATCAGGAGACACGAGCAGCTGTAGCGTCCTTGGGGTGCAGGGCTCAGAACTGGCCGGCACTGCTGGGGTCGCACTGCAGGAGTCGCACGATGGATGGGTCGCTCTTGGCCCCTCGGATGAATTCTTCCAGGGATAGTTTTCCTAGGAAGCAAGAGGACCAGTGAGTGGCAGCCCATGGCCCTTTGCACTGCACATTGGGAGCCGCAGGAACCCTCAGTAGAAGCCGGGAGGCAATGAGGGAGGGACCCTACTTCTCTGTTCACCAGGAACACTGCCCACCCGGACCCAGGGCTTGGAGAGGGTGTTAGCTCACTCAGACCTGACTCTCTGCCTCTGCCTGTGCTAAGGGGCCCATTCAGTGTCTGAGGGATGAGGAGGCTTCCTGGTTTGAGTGTGCCAGGCTCTCAAAGCAGCTGGGCTGAGGGTGCCACTCTGTACTGGTCTACTCAGGTTTACAGCAGACTCCTCCCCTTGGGTGAGCCGAGCAGGAATGTAGGTTCTTTCCAACAAGTGTTTGAAGACAGCAGCATCTTACCCAAAGCCAGGAGAATTGAGGAGTGTGTTCTAGAGAGTGACCCACCAGTCCCTCAACCCGGGTGGCTTGAGACGGAAGACAGGGACCTGTTTCCTCACAGGGCACAGTAGAGTCTCACTATTTGTCCAAACCCTAGATCTCTTACCTCTGCCTTCTCGGTAACTTGGACCCCCAGAACCTTTCTTCTTCTTCCTCAACTTTCTTCCAGTAAAGGTCCTCTGTCACTGTCATTGTGTCCCTGGCACTTCCACGGAGGCTCTCTGAGTGAAGTGACACCTTCACTAATGAAGTGGGTATAGGAATGCCGGGCACCTTTACCCAGCTTTGTCCTCTTTCCTTTCCCAGAGACTTAGTCCTAACTCCTTTCCAGAGACAGGCACCAGGCCTCTCTGGCTCCTCCAGGCCTCCTTAGCCGCTATTCCCAGTGACTGGCTCAGGTACTGCGGGATATGAGACTGGGGTGATGGGAACAGAAGCGCCATTTGAACACCTTGAAGTCCCAGGCGCTGCCGGCGCTGGAACCATAAGCTCCAGAAGACTGGGTGCCCAACATGAATGAACTCTCTGCCCTCCTGCACAGACATCCATGTGACTTGTCTGGAGGTGCAGAGGCAGCAGGAAAATGGAAAGGCCTTTCACTAAGAAGACTATGATGACAGTGCGCTATGCACAAAGCCTGCTCTGCTCCTGGTGAGAAGGCACAGGGACTCAGACCTGAGGACCCAGGGCTAAAGCTGTGAGTTTCCTGAGTGCTCAACATCGCATCGCTTCCCTCATCGCTTCCCTCCCCACAGCTTTCTCCATTTAAACAAATCTTTCTTCAGCCAAGCCCGGGGCAGTGTTGTCAGCTGCACTGTAGGAACCGGGAGGAACCGTAACCCAGCCAGGGCCCTTCAATCCTGCAGAAACAGTCCCAGTGGCCTGTGAGCCACACATCTGGAGGTGTCTTGTGCCATCCATTAGTCCTCCTTTAAGGAGAAGGCTGGCTCTTAAAGCCATCATGTTCCCCAGACTACCAAAACCTGTGGTTCAGCACCAGCAAGCTCTTTAACTGTTAGAACAATCCTGTTTGTCTAAACTTTGCAAAACAAACCATGTGCTATGAATTGAGGCACATGAAGGGAGACAGGATTCATGCAACTCTGAGGAGGAAACAACAAACGCACCAGCCTGCACCTCGCAAACCAAGATTCTCAGGGAGATGGTACTCCACGTGTGGGTATAGAAAGAGGCTTGCTGTTACTGACTGCAGAGCCTTGTACTACACACATCAGCATCCCACAGGGCCTGGCTCATTTCTACACTGCTGAGAGGATTTGCTCAACATCAAGAGCTGTAGATCTGGGGCCAGTAAGATGGCTCAGTGGGTGAAAGTATCTGCTACACAAACCCAAAGACCTGAGTTTAATCCCTGGAACCTATGTACAGATTGGGGTGGGGGACTGGGTCTGTAACTCTGTCCTCTGACTTACACACACACACACACACACACACACACACGGAGGCCACCTAATAATATGTGTAATAGCACACACAACAGTAATAAAGAGAATAAAATTTGTGTTTCAGAGATGGCTCAGCAGTCAAGAGCACTTGCTGTTCTTGCAGAGGACCAGTGTTTGAGTCCCAGCACCCATGTTCATTAGATCACAACCACCTGTAGTTCCAGGTCCAGGGGACTGAATACCCTTCTGTGACCTCTGTGGGTACCTGCATGCACATGGTGCACATGAACTCACATGGGCATGAATATACATGCACATAAAAAATTAAATGGATAAAAAAGTTAAGAGAGCTGGGAAGCTTTTGGTGGCCTGGGTTAGCCTTGATTTAGCACTGTGAACTCCAGTACTTCTGAACAGCATTTCAAGACTTGGCAAGAAAAATAAAAATGCCAAATTGATTTTGAATTTCAGTTGAGTAACTGCAGAAGTACATCCCAGATAGTGGATACAGACATAGTTATGTCAGAAAGAAGTCACTGCTTATCAATTGCTTGGACCTCTTGGACTCTACACGGCAGCCCGATGTGCAGGAATCACTTTTATTTATTTACTTGTCTTACTGATAAGGATGCCCTGTGTAGTAGTCCAGGCTGTCCTCAAACGTGTGGTTTCCCTGTGTCACTACCATACCAGACTTGTCTATTTTGTTTGAAACCAACTTGTTTTTTACTTTGGTTTATGCATTCGCTGGTTGCATTTCACCAGCTCCGAGGTCTACTCAGCCACTGGTCCTTCCTGCCCAACTCCTGGGTTCACCCAGCTCCAGGCCCACCCAGCTCCGGGGCCCACCTGGCTCTGGGTTTTCACAGCTCCGGGGCCCACCCGGCTCTGGGGTCTACCTCTGCTCCTTTCTGCCCAGGACATTTTGTCCTCTAGTAGAGATGCCCTGCCTGGCCTCCACCCACAGCCTGGCCCAAGCAAAGCTCTCCAGCTTCCTACCATCTCTGTTGGTATCCATCTGGCGGAAGATCTTCTCCGTCCTTTTCTCTGGGGTTGACTCATCTTCGGGCATTTTCATGACAGAAGAAACCATTTTGTAGATGGCCTAGGGACAGAAGCAACAGGGTGGTGATATGGAGACACGGTTCAACCCAAGAGCAGCTCTACTGAGTGTCAAAATCTGGAGTGAAGCTTTACAGGAGCTGGGTCTGTCCCTGGACTTTGCTATAGGACAGGATGTGTGGTCCCTGGTAGAAGCAAGGCCAGCAGAACTTGCGTTCCACCGGGATATTCTCAGCAGTATCGAATGGCGAAAACTCCACAGCTGCTGCCTCTGCTGCAGAAAATGTATAAAGGAGTTCCCAGTAGTCACGTGTAGTTTGAGTTTCTATCCAGCCAGGTCCCACTGCCCTTTAGCCCCAAATAAGCACCAGAGACATATTAATTATTAAATTATTGGTCAATGGCTCAGGCTTCTTATTGGCTAGTTCTCTCTCTCTCTCTCTCTCTCTCTCTCTCTCTCTCTCTCTCTCTCTCTCTCTCTCTCTCTCTCTCCCTGCTAGCTTTCTCTTAATTATTAGACCATAACTACTAATCTATGTATTCCCACATGCTCTAGGCTTACCCAGTAATGCCCTGGCATTTTACTCCTTCTGCTGCTACATGGTGTTTCTCTGGCGGCTCCTCTCTGCCTTCCTCTCCCCAGCCTTCTCCTTGTCTGGTAGCTCCGCCTAGGCTTCCTGCCTAGCTATTGGACAACCAGTGTTTTATTCATCAATCAATAATATGTATATATACGTGTGTGTGTGTGTGTGTGTGTGTGTGTGTGTGTGTGTGTACAGAAAGACATCCCCCGCCTGTCATGTTATCATCTGAGGAGTGCTGGAGAGCTGCAGGGCTGAGGTGTGTGCTCCTACCAAGGGCTGTTCAATGTCATTGTGCTCAAACTCTAGATGACTGAGCCTAGGCTTAGTGACAAGTATGGCCTACTGTGGTCATAACCCTGGCTCCTCCAGGAAGACAGACACTGGAAAGTCTGTCAGTGAATGTTGATGGGGGATGGTCTTTGGTATGTATGCTTTTTATGATTGTCCAGTAGCCAGGCACGGAAATGTAGGCAGGGCTATGAGACCAGGAGAATTCTGGGCAGAGGATGGGGAGAGAGGTCTCTAGAGAGAAGCCATGTAGCTGTTGAAGAAGTAACAAGCCTGATTGATGGGAGATGCCATTATGTATATATGTTTCTCATACTGGTTAATGAATAAAGCACTGTTGGCCAATAGGAAAGGAAGGTAGGAGGGACTAGGAGACAAGGAGGAAAGAGGAAGAAGTAAGGAGGAGTCAACATGGAGAGTCTGAAGAGAACAGAACCGCCATTCCTCTGCTCTTGGTAAGACCACGTGGAAATACATAGAAATGGGTTAATACTTAAGACAGAGCTAGCCAATAAGAAACAAGTAACTGGCCAACAGCATAATATCAAATACAGAGTCTCGGTGTATTAATTGGGGCCGGCGAGGCGTCGGGTCAAGACCAGGTGGCGGGAGGAAAAACCTTACTCCTTACACCCGATTACAGGTAAGCCACAGCCTCGTGGCAATATATGGTTTAATAGAAATGGGCTAATAATTAAGAGGGATCTAGTCAGTAATAAACCTGAGGCATCGGCCAAACATTTTATACTCAGTGTAAGTCTTTGTGTGTTTATTTGGGGCAAAGCAGCTGTGGGACCAGGCGGGACAGAAACTCCATCTTCAGCATGTCATTGTCTTCTCTCAGGCAATCCAGCACTTGCCTTTCCTCTACAGTTTGTGGCCAGGGGCTCACACTTTTTCTGAAGTTCCCAGTATCTCTGAGAGGGAAACTGGTGCTGCCAGTTTGGGATTATAATAACATCACCATCTCAGGGTGAGACGGGACTAAGTCCATCTGTGAAATATGATAGGAAAAAGATGATTTGATGGAAAGACTGTGCAAGTGGAAGTGTCCCCCACCACCCACAGCCTTCTGCAAACACCCAGGGAAGGCTTTGAGGGGTGGGATGGGCTCATTCATCAAAGGCACTTTGAATTTGGGAAGAATAAAATGAGGCCGTTGTTTCGATCCTTAGATTATGACTTCTTAATCAGATTCACTTTGGGCACTTCAGTCATGGGGGGGGGGAGTTTAGGAAAAAGTAGACTTTTGCCAGAAAGTTCTAGAAGTTTCTTGTGTTCTTGATAAAACAGGGCAACTGGGAAAAACAGAAAAAGAAAGACAACCAAGAAAAAGAGGGGTTGTGGGAGCAAAAGTGATATTAAGGATTATATTTTCACACTCCATATTCTTGTTTAGGATCAACCCTGTTAGAAATACCTAAAATATTGTAGGAATGTTCTAATTCCAGTCAACAAAATAAAAATGCAGACGGATTCATGCAGTAGAGTGCCACCCTCAGGCCAATCCCATCCTGCAGAGACCCCTGCGGCAGACTGCCACGATTGCCCAGAAACAGACTCAGCCCTTGCTGAGCTCCCAGGCCACCCCACAGTGAGTCACTCCAGGACAGCCAAGGCCAGCACCATGGCCGTTGTGGGTGGCGGCTGTCACTGGGTAAACTCAGGCACAGCCAGCTTTCCTGAAACACGCTCACATGGGTCCCTGGAGGCAAGAACAGAGTCATAATTAGTCCTCCTGCACCGGTCAGCTGTCTCTGTCAAGCCTCATCTGTGTTACCACTGGTGCTGTGGGTGCAGTGCTATATGCCAAGCTGTTGGCCATAGAAACAATGACCGTTTTATTATCTATCTATCTATCTATCTATCTACCTACCTACCTATCTATCTATCTACCTACCTACCTACCTATCTACCTATCTATCTATCTATCTATCTATCTATCTATCTATCTATCTACCTACCTACCTACCTACCTACCTACCTACCTACCTATCTATCTTCTTCTCCCCACCCCCCCCCCCCCCCCTCCCCACTATCTATCTATCTATCTATCTATCTATCTATCTGTGTTTTGAGACAGGGTTTTTCTGTACAACAGTCCAGGAACTCACTTTGTAGAGCACGTTGGCCTGGAACTCATTGAGATCCACCTGCCTCCCAAGCACTGGGATTAAAGGTGTGAGCCACCACTGCCCAGCATAATGATCGTTTTAAAAGTGGGAAAGCAGAGACCTGAGATCTCCAAGATTTCTGGTTAACTCCAGAACAAGGCAAGATGAAACCAGTGGCAACATACACACACCACACATATACTGTACCACACACACACACACACACACACACACACACACCACATATACCATACCACACACACTTCACACACACACACACAAACATACACATATCCTATAACACACACACACACTCACAGAGGACTGGAGCATCTTTATGAGTTCATCATCTTGATATCTGGACACGCCCCTCCCCCAGTTCACCCCAGCACAGCTTCTTCCCGGGGCAAGCCTCCGTCCACTCAGGACTTTACAAGTGTCAGCTGAGGAGTATTTATACACAAAGGAGGGACTTACTTTTCCAGAAGACTTCAGCAGACTATGATCTCTTTCAGACCTGTTTGTTCTTCTGCCGAGTCTGTTTTGTGCATGACTGAACCCAGGAGCATCATGGGAAATGCTCTCCTGAGGCCACTGCCAGTTCCCACCTTCGTGGTCAATATGTAAGCATTTAGGTTTCCTGAATCAGTGCCTTCATTGTTACTCTGTTCTTGCCTGCCTGTTCGACTGCCTGCCCCCAACCCCCACACATGCACTAAGGACTGATGGAATTGTGGCCCTCGCACAGGAAGCCACCTCTGCACGCATGCACGCACGCAGGAAGCCACCTCTGCATGTACTCCTTTCCTCCATCTCCACGGGTGGTCTCCTTCCTCTGCACAAACCAACGGCTCCATTGCATCCTACTTGGGATCACTTCATTCTGCTTACCCTAAACTGTAGTTGGCCAGGCCCCCCTGGCTCTGTGACTGTGGCCATCAAGCCTGGCTACTCATCAGGCCACTGCTGGTGCAACTGTCCCCACCCAGCTGCCTTCTCCCTTTCCCTTCTTTCATTTCTCTCCTATCCTGCTTCTCTGTATAAAGTTCCCTCTGTGTCCCTGGAGTTTTTGGTTTTGTTTTCTTTTTTTCTTTTCCTTCTCTTCTCTTCTCTTCTCTTCTCTTCTCTTCTCTTCTCTTCTCTTCTCTCTCTCTCCCTCTCTCCCTCTCTCTCTCTCTCTGTAAATGTGCATCCATACATAAAATTTAACATTCGTGTAAAATCCCCAAAAGTTCTGAATCTGCCCACAGCTGCCAACACACGCCCCCCACCGCCCCCCATGCATCTCTACCACTGCAGATGAATGTAAGGACTTGCAGATTTGGAAGCTGGTGCACAGAAACCTGCCACTCCCATTACCTCTGCTCTTAGTAGACCCCGCCCCCCCCACTTTTCAGTTCCCATTCATTTACCCAACTCACTCATTCATCAGACAGTTTCTGTGTGAATATGACACACCAGGGACATCGTCTGACACTGCCTTTGTCTTCAGGGATTTTACTATGAACCAAAGCAGGCAGATACTCTTAAAAATCAGGCCACTGTGGGACAAGCAAAGGTGGCCGTGTGGTGTGATGAGCTGTTCCGAGGGTGAGGGCAGGTCTCCCTGAGGGCGGGCCAAGGAGGAAAACATGGGGGAAAAAAAAAGCTTAAGTTCTTAAAAAGAAAAGCATGTCCTTTAGAAAGGAACTTGGAGGGTACCACACTGCACCCCACTTTCCAGTGACCACACCCCGGCAATGCCTTAGTAGTTGTCCCCTAATTATCCCTTAGAAACCCACCGATCTTTTAAGAACTCTGGTCCTGGAAGGCTGGGGAAGATGATAATCTCCTTCTTGGGACTTTGATGGGAACCAGTTACAACACAGAGCTCAGTCTTTAACCCTCCTGCTTGAGCGGAGGCGTGAAAGACAAAGCAAGCTAGGCGGGAGCGTGATGGAGAGGAGGCCTGCTACCTGGCCGTTAGGATAAAGACGTCGAACTGGTTTCGGAGAAAGGGAGCCAACCTACCAACCCATGGGGCACCAGTCCTGTGAGAATAGTTGCTGGAAGCCTCG